TAAATAATTTTTTTAATTTTTTAAAAAAGAATACAGATGCCCAAATCCTAAGTAATATAAAATATTTACTCATAAAGTAATTAATAAAAATACTTCTGAAAAAGAACTAAAAAAAAGGTAAGTCTAAAAATAATAAAACATGATGTAATATATAAATCATAAGATTATATGTGGATCACAGTATGCAAAACATGAACCCAACGTAAATGCCCCTCAGTGTAGGAAAGAGTAAAGCAGTGTGGAACAGATATAAATGTAACATTATTCCACTAAAAAAAGGAATCTGACAGGCTGCAACATGAGTAAACTAAAAATCATTCTGCTAATGACATAAGTTGGTCACAAATAGGCAAATACATGAGTCCACTTAGAGGATACTTACAGTTATCGAAGGAGTTTTTTAAAATAGAATGCTGTTTGCTGGAGGCTAGGGGTTAGAGCTGGCAGATGGCAAGTTGTTTAACGATGCAGACTTGTGGTTTGCTAAGATAAAAATGTTCTATAGATGGATGGTACACAACATGAATGTACAACAGCAGATGAGTCAAATATGGTGGAGTGGCATTGTCCTGTGGTATTGGCATGAGTGTCTAGGTCCCAATGTTGCAGCCATGTGATAGGAGCAACAGGCCATTCTTAAATGTGGGAAAGAGGAACACAGGCTTCAGAGAACCCACTAGCACACTAAGATAAATTCAGTCCAACAGCCTGTAACATAGGACACTTTCTAAATTTATTACCTCCATATTATTGGTGCTTTTATTCTATGGCTCTTTTAGAAAAGCTCTTGGTAAGTAAGACTTTCTCGTAGTTGACTGTGATGAGGCTAGAGGTGCTTTGATGATGATGCTGGTCCTTTGGGAAAACTGCAACTCTCTGTGTATCCCTCTCTTTCAGTGTACCACTTCCTGTGGTGGTGGCTTTCAGAAGAGGACTGTACATTGTATCCCCTCAGAGAATGGTACAACTGACGGTCAAGACCAATGCCTGTGTGACCACGAACTCAGACCTCCAGACTCCCAAAACTGCAGCCAGCAAGCCTGCAGGATAAGTGCTGGTAGGTTACTGGTTTGGACATTGGGGGCAGAGAGTTTTCATGAGTAAGTCATTCTGCATAACTCAGCCTGTGGATAGTTTTATATCTCCTTTGCTGAAAGAAAATCTTAATGCCCAAGAGGCTAAGTGGAACTGTGGGAGGACTCTATCTGATTTGGTAAAGTCTGATTCCTTGAGGAATTACTTCATCCATTTTCTTACCTCAGAGCAGCTTTACAGTGATGTCAGCCCACACAAATAGGAATGGCTTCTGTTTTTGTCAAAGATATCTGGGAGATATTCCAGACTTTCTCAGGAACCTATCCAATTACTAAACAGCCTATAAATTTAATTATACTGTCTTAGGTCAGGCTCCCCAGAAGCAGGCTCTGAGGTGAATGTACATATAAAAAGAATTCATTAAGAAAGTACATCCAGGGAAGACCATGAGGGAGTGGGAGAAGCATGACGGAAAAAGGTGGCACAGCCAGGGTGGCCTCTCAGGCCTGGAGCTTGACCTGCAAGGAAGTTCCAGAGTATGAGTTATGTACATACAAATGCTGTCTGCTCCAAAGCCATCAAGGATTTTCACATTCCCATAGTCTCCATCTGTTGACCAAGGGCTACTTCAAAGGAAGTGAATTTGCTGACATTTAAAGCTCTGTACTAGAGGCAGGAGCTCTAATGGGCTGTAAGTATTCTTTCAAAGAACCAGAGTTTCTGGGTATTTTGAAAAAGCTGAAAAAAAGCTAGGAATTAAGTAGGGGAAGGGAGTGTCCTAAGAAAATGGGTAAGGAAGTCCAAAGAGGGAGAGCTGAGAAGTAGAAAATCAGCATGGCCTTCTCATTCAATTCACTTTCAAAAGCATCTGATTTAGGGTTAGGGTAGCTTAAAGGTAGAGCACTTGCCCACTATGTGTGAAGCACTGAGTTAGAGCTCCAGTGTCAGCAAAAAAAAAAAAAAAGTATAGGAAATTGTGACATATGATGCAGCCACTTTAAGTGTATCAAATGGCAGCTTAGGGAGGTTAAGTGGTATGTTTATGGGCATTGGCTGATCATTTAACGTGCAGGAATCAGCTATAGCTCAACTGCTATAACTGGCTGAAACTTAGCTACTTGTTGCAAGAATAAACTCTCAGATTAGGTTGTAGTTTGTTTACCTGCTAAGTTAAACTTCAGTAACCTTTGTTGGAACTCAAAGAGGAAAGTGGGAAACAGCCTCAGGCCATATTGTTATAAATATGTTTTTATTTAAAAATGTTTGAGTGATTTTGTAAAATATTAATGATTCCTAGAACATTTCTCAACTATGAAAAATGTTTTAGATAGGTCCATCAGAACTGTTTGCCCCTAATGGCTTCAATTTCAGCTTAATAGCTCTGTGCTTTCTTTTTTTATTTTACATATTTTTTCTCAGTGTATATTTTTATTGATTTTTTTGTGCATTTCACATAATACATCTTAATCATATTTAGACCCCCTCCCCCAGCCACACTTCCCCACAGGCCCCAAAATAGTCTTATTGATTTAAGAATTTCATATAATGTATTTGATCATGTTCAGACCTCCTCCTCCCCCCACTCACCTAACTACCCCCCACTTCATGTCCTCTATTATTATTTGTCTTTTTTAAGGCCTATTGAGTCTAATCTGTATTTCCTAAATGCTCTTGAGTGTGGATCTATTTCTTGGAGTCTGGTCAACCTACCAGGCAAGGAAAACTGACTCTCTTTCATCATCTTTCAATTGCCAATAGATCTCAGCCAAAGCTGGGGATTCCTGCCTACCTTCCTCCATCCATGCTTGGTCCCTGCCTGGCTTGGGTTTGCACAGGTCTTGTGCATACTGTCATAAGTGCTGTGGGTTCAGATGTGCAACTATCCTGGAGTGTAGAGAAAACAGTTTCCTTGTACTCTTCCACTGCCTATGGCTCTTACAATCTTTCTGCCCCTTCTTCCACAATGATTCCTGAGACTTGGGAAGAATGGGTATGATATCAGTGTCCCATTTAGGGCTGAGCATGCCACTCTCTTATTCTTGCATGTTTACCATTTGTGGATCTCTGTGTTAATTGCCATCAGCTGTAAGAAGAGCCTTCTCTGGTGAGAGGCTGAGAGATGCACTAATCTATGGGAATAACAATAAGTTATTATGAGTCAGTTTTATATGATATCTACTTAGCAGAATGATAGTAGTAGGTTCTCCTCTATGACCAGTGAACTGCCTAGTGACAGGTTCCTGACTTTGATAATAATGTTATCAAGGACTGGTCTCCCCATTGGAAGTAGGCCATAAATCCAATTAGAGGGAGGTTGGTTATTCCTATAACATTTGTGCCACTATTGCACCAGTAGGCACATTTTGCCAAGCCGGTTGTTCAGTCACCCACAGCGTTCACAGCTGGATAAGGCTGATAACTACTTTTCTCTGCCAGTAAGTGCATAGTATCTTTTAGTACCATGAAAGCTAGCCAGAAGAGATGTAACTTTGATGTCAGTGCCAGCTGGATTTCTCCTTGCTTGTTCTGTGATTCAGATATGTAATGTCCTCAGCAATAGAGTCTTACCTTCAAGTTTTGGTGGGTAACCAACTGCAATGGCAAAAACTAGTATGTTTGAGGATCTATGGGATCTCTCTCGTTAACAACTACAAAAGAGAGAGTCCATTCCTGGCATTGGGCTTTTCATTTGCTGGCCTATGGTGTCTACTAGGGCCACTGAACCTGTTATATATGCTTCTACAGTGGGTTTCTGATAGTTTACTTATGCTAGTTACAAAATGGAGAGTGCTGCATGAAGATGTAATCCAGTAGTTGGGGTTTAGTGTATCCAGATGAATTTACTCTGCCCTTAATTAAAGAGTCAACTATGAGACATCAACTAAGGTCCATGCTACCCTTGAAAAAGTAGCATGTTGATGGTACACAGTGGCAATATTTTCCCAAAATTCTTAAAGTCAAAAAATAATAAAATGTGTGCTTTCCCCCTCTGAAGTACTAAGATGTCCAGCAGAGATTTCCCTTAGAGTTAATCCTGAGACTTTTCTCAGGGTATTTTTATTTCCAAATCATGCATTTATTCAAAAAAAAAATAAGGGTTGGTCAGATACTGCTAGACACAATGTCAAATAAGATACAAAGCATAAGCCAGTGAGAAACATGAGAAGGATGGGAAGAAGTATATGGGAATTTGGGGAAAGGCATAAAACCTAGCCTGGGAGAGCCAGGAAGATCTTTAAGGTTATAGGCTATCCAGAAAGAAGACAAGATGACACACTGCACGTAAATAACTCAAGGGCAAAACTCATGGGAAGTTAGGAAATGACAAAATTCAAGATTCAAGGTCAAACTAGAGTAAAAGAGTATGTCAAGTATGCTGGTGAATTAGGACTTTATCCCTATCCAGAAGGAGCCATTGAAGTATCCGAAACAAGAACGTAAAGATAATGAAGTGACTCTGGATGCACTGTGGAGGATAGAGAAGGAAGGAAGACCGTTTAGGATACTGTACATTACTCCATGCAAAGAGGCACAGGGAATGAACAAGGGCAGAAGCGCAGCTAGAAGAAAGCAGATTCAGGCACTGCTTTTAAGATTCAGGACTTTGTGGCAGGGGAAAGGGGAGGAAAGCTAGTGGTTGTGTTTTAGAATTGGGCAGGTAAGATGAAGCTACTGATTCAGTGTAGGATTGGGAATGGGTGAAGATCATGAGTTCTGGCTAGACATGGTTGTTGAGGGTTCTGTGAATCATCTAGGTAAGTGTCCTGTGCTTCATTTGTTACGTGGAGTCCATGTGAGAGCCTCTTCTTTTCATTTTTTTCTTAACACTTTCTGCTGCAACATGTACTTAAAATGTTGACACTGGGCTGGAAAGATGGCTCAGCAGTTAAGAGCACTGACTGCTCTTGCAGATGACCCGGGTTCGATTCCCAGCACCCACATGGTGGCTACGAACCATCCTTAACTCCAGTTCCAGGAGAATCTAAAGCCCTCTTCTGCCCTCCGTGGCATTGCATGACATGGGTGCACTCACATACAAGCACCCAATACACTCATACACATAAAATAAAAATAA